TAATAAAATGAATAATAAAATGAATAATGTAATGGATAATAAAATGAATAATAAAATGAATAATCTAATGAATAACATAATGTTCGATCATCCTTATGGAGAAACGTAGAGGCAGGTCGAAACAAATAAAGCAGAACTCACTGTCTGGGCTTAAAATAATTCATTTATTAATGTTTCGTGCGGCGATCGGTCTAACCAAACAAAAAAAAAAAAAAAAAAAAACAAAACATACCATCGTATCGTTTCTTAAACATAACAGTCCATAATCTATATAATAATAATCGTTCTATCTCGCGTTGGAAATAATTATTTCAGGTACAAAATCGAACCCTATCACAGACATCACTTAAAGCTTCGGTCACCTATGTACAACAGAAACCATAGAAAAAGAGAAACTCCGATTCTATACGCTAACCATCAATATATACTATACCCGACTCGTAGTTCGAAATACCTCGACGGAAGTCGAACAATATAAAACGCACGGAAGACATCGATTTCCACCTTCGATCGTTATCGGAAGAGCTTCTTAAATAATTAAATACTACAGACGAAACGAGTCGAGACGCGAACGTTCTTAAAAAGTATTCGCCGTCTCTCGAACCCTGGCCACCGACGAATCCAAAACCGGCGCGTTCGACGCGAAAATTTCAAACCGATCGAGCGGCTTCTCGAGGCCTCTTAAAATTCCTCGAGTGTTCTCCGACGTCTCTCGGCGTACCGCGAGCGTCCGTCGAGTTCTCCATCACCAAGGTCTCCAAACAGGATTGGCCATGTCCAAAGCATCGCCGAAACAGCTGGCCACACTGACGGGACTCTGCGGCGGCGTGTAAACGTTCCTAGGTACCTTGACCTTGTTCGGGCTGGCAGGTGCGGACTCCACAGACGCGACGTCTCCAAAGGCATCTCCGGAGTTCCCAAACGGCTCCGAGGATGGTCCGTCCAGCCTTCTGAGGCATCCGCCGAGATGTCTCATCAGCTGCGCCCCGGCAGCGGGATGAACGTTTGCGGCCACAGGTGTGGAGAGGAACGAGGACACCTCCTGAGCGCACTGAGTGAACCCATCCCTGAATCTGTCCGCGTAGCTGTTCTCCGGGGTCAAGGTGAGCCTCCTGGCTGCTCTGAGGGTGTGCAGATGACGAACGGTGAGCTCGAGGATGTCGGCCTTCTCCAATTTGGCCACGTTCTCCCCTTCGGCCTGGAGAGCGGTCACCATAAGGTCCTTGAGCTCGTCCAGGCACCGGTTGATCCTCGCTCTGCGTTTGCGCTCCAGCATGGGCTTCATCACCTTCCTGTACTGATAAGTCCTCGACACCGGTTCTTCGTACTCGACGCCACCGACCGGACTGCAACTGGTATGCGGCGCCATACTTTCCGTGTAACGAGCTGCCGTCTCTCGCTTTTCACTTTGTTCGCGAATCAGTGAGAGCAGTCCAGCACTCGACTCTCTATCGTATAAGCGTCCCCGTGGACGTTCCTAAGCGACGAGTTCTCGCGTGATCTATATACCGTCGTTGGCGCTGTCACTGCGCTCGCTTGCGTGCCCTCTGAACGGAATGCGTCCGCTGTGCGTTCGCTACCGTGTTCGAGTTGCTTTTGGGTCGTCGGGTGGGGATCGCGACGGTACTTATACGCGGTACCGTCCTTCTCCCCTCCGGTGCGTCCCATTACGACGGCCCGCGAGTCTGTCCAGGGTGTTGGTCAGGGTGTGGCGGGGGGAGAGGAGCAGAGAGAGAGAGAGAGAGAGAGAGAGAGAGAGAGAGAGAGAGAGAGAGAGAGA